TATCTCCGTCTGGACGTTTCGCTGGCTAATCGTGCGCATCATGCTGGGTGCGGTCAGTACATTTCCTTGCAGAGCTTCTGGATTACTTGCGATTTGTAATCTGATTACTGATTACACGCCAACATTTATTGTCAGTAATTTATAGCAGCGTAATCTGACTTTTGGATGACTTGTAGTCTGCTTTTGTGTTAACCCTTATTATATTGAAGCTGGATAATCTCTTCAAAATAATAAATTAATACTTCACAATACTCACACTAATATACACTACTGATGGTTAGATGGATGGATGGATTTGGGTGGATGGATGGATGGATGGATAGATAGATAGATAGATAGATAGATAGATAGATAGATAGATAGATAGATAAATGGTGGATGGATAGAAAGATGGATGAATTTTATAGACACATAAATGGATAAATGGATGGATAGATGGATTTTATAGACAGATAGCTGATGGATGGATGGATGGATGGATGGATGGACAGATGGATGGATTTTATAGACACAAGAATGTATAGAAGGATGGACAGACAGACAGATGGATGGATGGTTGGATAGATAGATTTATGGGTTAAATTCATCGATGGACAGAGAAATGAACAGCTGGACAGATAAATGGATAAATAGGTGGATGGATGGATGGATGGATGGCAAGATGGATTGGACCGGTGGACGGATGGAAAGATGGATAGTTGGTGGATGAACAGATGGATGGATTTTATAAATGATGGATGGATGGATTGGATGGATAGAAAGATGGATGAATTTTATAGACACATGAAAGGATAGATGGATGGATGGACAGATGGGTGGATGAATGGGTGGATGGATGAATAGAAAGATGGATGTATTATTTAGACATATGAATGGATGGATGGACAAATGGATGGGTGGATGCATGGATGGATGAATAGAAAGATAGATGGGTTTTATAGACAAATGAATGGATAGATGGATGGTTGGATTGTTGGACAAATAGATAGATGGATAGGTGGATGGATGGGTTTTATAGATACATGGATGGATGGATGGATGGATAAGAAGATAGATGGGTTTTATAGACACATGAATGGATAGATGGATGGATAGACGGACGGATGGGTGAATGAATGGGTGGATGGATGAATAGAAAGATGGATGTATTTTATAGACACATGAATGGATAGATGGATGAATGGATGGACAGATGAATGGATGGATAGATGGATAGAAAGATAGATGTATTTTATAGACACATGAATCAATAGATGAATGAATGGACAAATGGATGGATGAGTATAAAGATGGATGGGTTTTATAGATACATCAATGCACAGATGCATGGATAGACGGACCGATGGACGGATGGGTGCATGGATGAAAAGAAAGATGGACAGATTGACACAGATGGATAGACGGCTGGATGGATGGATGGATGGATGGATAGACGGATGGATAGATGGATGGATAGAAAGAAAGAAGGATTTTATAGACACATGAATGGATGGATAGTTGGAATGAATGAATCAGTGAAGTGTGACCCGCGTCTGCCATTGGCTAAATAATATATAATGAATGAAATAGCAGCTTCAGTCTGATTACCAATATTTAAAGTAGTTTGCTTTAATACAAGCGCTTGATTTTTGTAACTCAAATGTCTGCGTCTTGAGAAAGCGAGTAAAAGTACATGTGCAGCGGTAAAGCACGCATTAACCAGCGTCAGACGACTTCTGTCTGGGATTTTTATGGCTGGTGTAACTATTGTCTGCCAAAAGCACAGAGGTTGCCATGTAGATGAAAATGTTTTTCCAATTAGCGCCGTAAATGAGGAGGAATGGGGAAGGCGAGCTGCACGTTCGGTTAAACGAGGCCAAGAATATAATTGCCTTTAAGTACTTACAACTGTAAAAACCCTGCAGCCGTTTCCCTTCAGACACACGAGGAGCAGAGAAAACACACACACACACACACACACACACACACACGAGAAATGAAAACGCTGGCTTTAATAGTGTGGTAATGATTATCACTCATTGGAGGTGTTTCCTCACATTTCAATGCGTCTGTTGAGTGTTGATGGAAGTAAAAGGAGTGTAATTTGGGCCCTAGGAGATGTAAAGTCATTAAAACGAATTGGGAATGTTGATCACGATGTTTGCCAATTTGAAATATGAGGTGAATTTAGGTTAGTATTTATTTAACAAAGGCTGCGTTTATTAGTGTCAGAGTGAAATAATAATAAAGATATTATTAATAATAAAGATGTTAATAATAATAAAGATGTTAAATTAAATTTAATACGCCATTTATTTTTTTTATTTAAAACTGAAAGATGCATGAAATCTATCTAACGTAATACTAAAGACTTTTACAATATAAAAGAGAAAACTTTATTATATAAATCTACAATGCAAAAAAAATGAGTGTAGATTTTACAGCAAATGAAGTTAGTTAGCAGTACGTTTCCTTAATATATACGGTTAATAACTGTAAATTGACTTTTTCAGATTTTCTTTATTATGTTTTTTTGTTGACGTTATGTTTAGATTACATTTGTACATAACATTAGTCTATAATTATAAATTAATAAAATATGGTAATTTACCGTAAAAATTCTAAATGTATATTGCATTTCTACAATATTTTGATGATAGAATTCTGGCAAACACAGCTGCATTTTTTATACCATAAACTGTAAGAAACGACTGTTATTTCAACCGTAAAAACAGTAAAACTGCTGTTGTAGAAATCCTCGTTTCGGTTAATATGTACGGTCAATAACCGTAAATTGTCTTTCCCAGAATTCCCTGCATGACACTTCACATTTTGTGCTTTTTTGCTGAGGAGTTATTTACATTTGTTCATAACATTAGTGTATGACTATAAACTAATCAAATACGGTAATTTACTGTAAAATTAAACATTTATTTTACATTCCTACCATATTATTTATGTTAAAATTCCAGCAACCACAGCTGCCGTTTTCTTGTACCATGGATTGTAAAAAATTACTGTAATTTCAACAATAAAAAGCGGTAAAAATCCTACAGTAATAATCTGTAACCTGGTTACAGTACGTTTCCTTATTTTATACGGTTACTAACTGTATTTTGACTTTCTCAAAATTCCCTGCATGACACTACACTTATTATGCTTTTTTGTTGACGTTATGTTTAGTTACATTTGTACATAACATTAGTGTATGACTATAAATTAATAAAATATGGTAATTTACCGTAAAAATTCAAAATGTATATTGCATTTCTACAATACTTTTTATGATAAAATTCTGGATAACACAGCTGCATTTTTTACCATAAACTGTAAGAAACGACTGTGATTTCAACAGTAAAAACAGTAAAAATGCTGTTGTAAAAATCCTGGTTAACAGTACATTTCGGTAAATATGTACGGTTAATAACCGTAAATTGTCTTTCCCAGAATTCCCTGCATGACACTTCACATTTTGTACTTTTTTGCTGAAGAGTTATGTACATATGTTCATAACATTAGTGTATGACTATATACTAATCAAATACGGCAATTTACTGTAAAATTAAACATTTATTTTACATTCCTACCATATTATTTGTTAAAATTCCATTGTAAAAAATTACTGTAATTTCAACAATAAAAAGCGGTAAAAATCCTTCTGTAATAATCTGTAACCTGGTTACAGTACGTTTCCTTATTTTATACGGTTACTAACTGTATTTTGACCTTCTCAAAATTCCCTGCATGACACTACACTTTCTATGCTTTTTTGTTGACGTTATGTTTAGTTACTTTTGTACATAACATTAGTGTATGACTATAAATTAATAAAATATGGTAATTTACCGTAAAAATTCAAAATGTATATTGCATTTCTACAATATTTTTTTTATGGTAAAATTCCGGAAAACACAGTTGCATTTTTTTACTATAAACTGTAAGAAATGACTGTAGTTTCAACGGTAAAATACGGTAACTATGGTAAAAATCTGTCACCTGGTTAACAGTAAATCTCCTTAATATATATGGTTATTAACCAGGGCTTAATTTGTGAATTGCGAGGTCCTGGAACAGATCGGGGTAACGGATCTGGCATGTTACCCGAGGATGGAGAGATGTCTCCCATGAAAGTGAAGGGGGTGTCGCGGACGAAGGATGAAAGTGAAGAGCGGGGGTTGTCGCGGATGAAAGTGAAGTGGGTTGGGGAGTCACGGAAGAAAGTGAAAGTGAACAGCGAATAGGGGAGGAGGGCGGTTGAGGACGAGGATCAGTAAAATGAGGTGCTGGATCAGATTTCAGAGGTGCCGGATCCAGCGTGTTCTGCACAAATGACCGTTTTGTGCCAGAAATCGCTGTTTATTGACTTTCCCAAAATTCCCTGCATGACACTTCTCTTTTTAATGCTTTTTTTGTTGATGTTACGTTTAGGTTACGTTTGCACTTACATCATTAGTGAATGAGAATAAATTAATAAAATACAGTAATTTACTGTAAAAATTCTAAATGTATTTTACGTTCCTACAGTGTTTTTTGTTTTCAAATTCCGCCAACCGGAGCTGCATTTTTTTTACTCTGCAAAAAGTGACCGTAATTTCAACAGTAAACAACTAGTAAAAACGATTCAGTAAAAATCTGTAACCTGATTAACAGTACGTTTCGGTTAATACATACAGGTATTTGACTTCCTCAAAATTCTCTGCATGACACTTTTACTTTTTACACTTTTTTACGGCCATATGTTTAGTTTTTTTTCTCATGGGTAGGGCCAGATGGAATCTGCGGATGTTTTTTGCTATTTCTGCAGAGAATTTAGGTAAAAAGCTGCGGATTTCTGCGGAATTATTTTGGGAGTATCCAGCGGAGTATCAAAACTAAAACCTTAATATATGAAACAAAAAGTAATTAATTACTGAATAAAAACTTTAAAAAATTAGGTTTACACATTTACTCAAGTAAATAAA